CTTCTTCTTCTTCTTCTTCTTCTTCTTCTTCTTCTTCTTCTTCTTCTTCTTCTTCTTCTTCTTCTTCTTCTTCTTCTTCTACACAGCTCTGGTTGCCTTGGAACTCACTATGTAGACCAGGCTGGCCTTGAACTCACAGATATCCTCCTGCCTCTGCCTCCTGAGTACTGGAATTAAAGATGGGTGTACCACCACACCCGGCTACAGTTAGGCATTTTAATTTTTGCTCTTCTTCTGGATTCTCTCCCTCTATTTTTTTTCCCACCAGCACAAATCAGGAACCAGACAGAGCTGTGAGCATGCCGGTGTTCATACATCAGAACGCAAGACATCCAAGGCTATAACATCGCTCCTGACAGAATTTCCCAAATCCATTATTCCTGTAATTTTTTTTTAAAGTTTTTTTGAGACAGGGTTTTTCTGTGTAGCCTTGCCTGTCTTGGACTTGCTTTGTAGACCAGGCTGGCCTTGAACTCACAGTGATCCACCTGCCCCTGCCTCCCTGAGTGTTGGTATTAAAGGAGTATGCCACCATGCCTGGCCTGTTGCTATTTTATTTTAAAGGGCTTTTAAACATTAAGAGATATTGTTAAGGAATAGATTGGAAAGGCTTTATTTTATTCTCTAGTAATGTGTAATATATTCACAATAACATAACATCATGATGTTTAATGCATGGTAAGTTATTTTAAGTTAGTACTTTCTTCCCCCTTCTCATCAGCTGAGAAATCTTCAAAGCAAACTTTTCATGAAAGAAACTTCATTGCAAGAGATGAAGACAGAGCTAGAGAGTTACAAAGAAAGTAACGCCCAGCAGTCACTACAGATAATATCCCTGAGAGCTGACGTCAGGAACCTTCAGGACCTTATTGCTTCTCTAATGAAAATTAAAATTTTGAAAAACACAAATTCTCAGAATCTTGGAAGAGGCAACTGGGATCTAACTGAGCAAGTTATAGACTTAGAGAACCGTCTAAGGTAGGGATTTTCCGGTCTGTTTTCCAACATGCCTTTTGCTATTTGGTCTTTCTTTCTTTCTTTCTTTCTTTCTTTCTTTCTTTCTTTCTTTCTTTCTTTCTTTCTTTCTTTCTTCTTTCTTCTTTCTTCTTTCTTCTTTCTTCTTTCTTTCCTTCTTTTTCTTCCTTCCTTCCTTTCTCCTTCCCTCCCTTCCAACTTCTCTCTCTCTTTCTTTTTCTTTTTTTTCCAAGAAAGATGTTCTGGAACTCACTCTGTAGACCAGACTGGCCTTGAACTCACAGAGATCCACCTGCCTCTGACTCCTGAGTGCTGGGATTAAAGGTGTGCACCACTACACCTGGCTTTTGCCATATGTTTTTCAAATCGTAAGCCATATTCCTGATCAGATAATTTAATAGAATTTCACTTTAGTACCTTTGGGGGAGTGCTGGTTAGTTTTGTTTGTTTGGTTTTGTTTTCTGTAAACTTGATACAAGCCAGGATAATCTGGAAAGGAACCTCAATCGAGAAAGTATCTCCATAAGCCCGGCCTGCAGGCAAGTCTGTGGGGCATTTTCTTGATTAATGATTGATACAGGAGGGCACGGGGTCTTGGGCCACATAAGAAAGCAGGCTGAGCAAGCTATGGGGAGCAAACCAGTAAGCAGCATTTGTCCACGGCCTCTGCTTCAGCTCCTGCCTCTGGGTTCCTATCTTGAGTTCCTGCCCCGCCTTCCCTCAGTGAAGGGCTGTGACCGATAAGCTAAATAAACCCTTTCCTCCCCCAGGGTACTATTGGCCAGTTTTATCACAGCTAAACTAAAGCGGGAGGTGAGGGGACATCTTGGCTCGTGAAGCGCCTCCCCTGCCAGCCTGAGGGACTGGGTTTACTCCCCCTCGCCCATGGAAACTGTTGAGCGTGGTGGTGTGGACCTGTAGATGCTCAGCACAGCTGAGGCTGAGCCACATGCCTTCCTGGCTAACCCCAGAACCTGACCTAACTGATGAGCTTTGGGTCTCAGTGAGAGAACCTGTCTCAGCTGAAAATATGGGGGGCTCCTGAAGAATGCCATCGTAGGTTGACCCTTGCCTCCACATGTATGTGCAAACACACCCATGCTTGCATGGGTGTGCACATACATACACACACACACACACACACACACACACACTTTTTACTAAGTTGTATAAGATCCACCTTAAAGGGTAAACCTGTGTGAGCATGTGTGAGTGTGTCTGTGTGTTATTGTGTACATTTGTGTTTGTATATTGCCCCGGGCAGCGGAGCTTGTTAATAGCGGGGATAGAAGAGAATCCGAACCTGTGAAAATATGGGGGAGAAAGAGAAACCGAGTCCAAGCAAACAGGTGCTTGTCAAGGACTAACTTTACTGAGCAGAATCAGCTTTTATAAAGGGTTCAGGATAAGGAAGTAGGGTGGGTGAAAAATTACAGATTCTTCTCGGCCAGGGGCCTGAAACATCTTGTGATAAGCCATGGTTCTGTGAGCACATCTCTGCTGTTGCCAAGCAGTATGTTTACCGCAGGTAAGGGAACGGGCAAGTTGAGGCAAGTTGGTGAGCTTCCACAGGTGGTCTCTGAAGTTGGCGAGTTCTCTCAGGTGGTCCCTGACAGTATATATTTGTGTTTTTGTATGTGTGTGAGTGTATATATGTGGTACTGTGTGTGTTTTTGTTTGTGTGTCTCTGTGTGAGAGTGTTTATGTGTATGTGTAGGTGTTTTGTGTGTGTTTGTGTCTGTGAGCGCGTATATGAGTATTTGAGTGTGTATGTGAGACTGTGGATGCGTGTGTGTGTGTGTGTGTGTTGCTGAGTGTGAGTTGGCCAGCCATCACCACTATCTAGTTTTAGAACATGTATCACCTCCAAAAGAGGTCCCACACCCATGGATGCCACACTTTCATCCCCCGAAAAGGAGATCCCACACCCATGGATGCCAGGCTTCCCCAGCCCCCAGAGGTCACTAATCCTTTATCTCCATGGAAGTTCCATTCAACATGAGTATAACCATAAACATAGTGCCCTCTTAATTTCTGTACTTTCATGTATTACAATGTTCGCCTGGGTTGTAGCGTTAATCAATACCTCAGCTTCTCTTACAGCTCAGCTATTATGGCTTGGGCACGATGGCTATTTAGCCATTTATATGCTGAAGGATGTGTGGGTTGCTGCTAGGGGCCTTTTTGTTTTATGACTTATGCTGCTATAAACATTCAAATACAGACTTCTACATAATTTTCTTTACTCAGGTTTTGTTGGGCTATAGAGTAACTGTTTAATTATTTGGTGTTACTTGCTTTGTTTGTTTGATTTGGTTTTTCAAGACAGGTTTCTCTCCATGTAACCCTGGCTGTCCTGGAACTCTCTGTAGACTGGGCTGCCCTCAAACTCACGGAGATCCCCCTTCCTCTGCCTTCCAAGTGCTGGGAGTTTGTTTGTTTTGAGATCCAGGCCTCATTGTGGTTCGTACTGGCCTCAAACTCTGTGTCCTAGAATCTGGACTGCACGGTGATCCTCCTGCCTCCCACATGCTAGGATTGCAAGGGAGCACAACCAGCTTCTTTGAAGTTATTTTTAAGGCATTTTCAGACTGCTTTCCAAAAGAGGCAGTTCCTCTGTTTATAACCCCAGCAGCAGTGGGTTCGGGTCACAGTGTCTCCCACAGTCTTACTAAGATGAGGAACTTGGGTTCCTGGAACCAGAGTTTTAGGCAGTGGTGAGCCACCCAATGTGGGTGCTGGGAACTGGACCCAGTTCTCTGTAAGAGCAGTAAGTACAACCACTGAGCTATCTCTCAAACTCCTTGTCCCCACCCTTTTTATATAGGGTCTTACTATGTGGCCTAGCTGGCCTGGAAGTTGCCTTGTAGACCAGGCCAGACTTGAAGTCAAACAGAGATCCACCAGCCCATCTTTCATTGGTTTCAAATATTGAACCAGTTGCTTTTTTGTCAACCTGTTCAATCTGTTTTTTTTTTTTTTGTTTTTTGTCAATCTGTTTTGACACAGACCTAGACATATCTGGGAAGAGGGACCTTCACTGAGAGACTACCTCCATCAGACGGGCCTGTAGCCAAGCCTTGGGGACATTTCATAACTGATGATTAATGTGAGAGGGCACAGCTCACTGTAGGCAATACCATCCCTGGGCCGCTGGTCTTGGGGTGTATAAGAAAGCAAACTGAGCAAGCCAGTAAGCCTCATTTGTCCATGGCCTCTGCTTCAGGTCCTGCCTCCAGGTTCCTGCCTTGAGTTCCTCCCTGCCTTGCCTTGGTATGATACTCTTTAACATGGGAACTTAAGCCAGAAAAATCCTTTTCTCCCCAAGTTGCTTTTGATCATAGTCTCTTATCACAGCAACAGAAGGAAAAGAGATAGATGTCCTTTGCTGACATTTATTATTTCTGTTGGAAAGTGTGCCATTTGCCTGCCTTCCTGCTCTTTGAGGTTAACCTGGGCTTCTCTTGCAGGCCTCTCTTGCTGTTTTTAATTTTAGCGGCTTGACTGTGATATGGCTGTATATTTGTCCTGTTTCAAATTTGTAGATTTTATTGGATTTTCAATCAATACCTTTGATTTTTGTTTAAAAAAATCAAGAGTTATTTTTCCATATATTGTTTCTGACTCACCCTGTCACTTGTGTTATAATGCTGACGTTTCAGGTTTGTTAGTTTTGTTCTGTTGTATTTTGTTTTTATTTGACTCACTTATTTATTTAATGTTTTTAAACAGGAAACTAAAAAAAAAATAGAGTCGTGCATTGTGGCACACACCTTTGATCCTAGCACTTGGGAGGCAGAGGCAGGCTGACTTTTGTGAGTTTGGGGCCAGCCTGGTCTACAAAGCGAGTTCTATGACAATCAGGGATGTTACACAGAGGAACTCTGTCTCGGCAAAAAAGTTTTTTAGTCATGTTGAAAATCGGTTGAGCTGGTTTCATTGCACTGTTGACCAGTTTTACTCTACACAGAGAATACCTGGTAGAAAGAGAGAAGGCAGAAATTCTGGAGAAAAGGCAGTCCTATCCCAGCAGACTCTCTCCCTACATACATCTGAAAGGACCAGAAGAATCCTTGGATATTTTCCCGGTGAAGGTGAGAGTGAGTTTGACTGTTTCCCCAGGAGGAAAGGGTAGGTGTTGGGAAGGGTGCCAGTTCTCTTGTGGATGGAAAAGTCAAAGGAGCGTGGTGGACCAGATGACCGGGGTACTGCAAAGAGGGCTAGAAGCTGTCTGTGATTCTAGCAGAAAGGTTTGCAGGGAGGGAATGGGGCCCTGAAACACTCAGGGGTGGGAGGGGGGATAATGAGATGTCAGAGCTGTCCATTTCTTGTTCAGATAGGCTTCTTTTGATGAATTCACATCCCTGGATGTAGAGGAGCAGGCCCAGGTACCACAAGCCAAGTTGTTTGTGGTTATCAGTTTTGGTCATTGACACCTAGCACTATGGATTCCAAGAGGAAGTGCTCCTGAAAGAGAAAGGGAGGAGGCAGGCCATTATTGAGGGAGCCCTGAAAGTTTATTGCCAGCTCCTTACACCATCACAATTTATTCTGTAAAACAGGGACCTGTGTGACTCAGTTAGTGTGGAGGATCCCATTAGAAGCAAACAAACAAAAAATCAAGGGCTGAAGAGATGCAGCAGTTAAGAATGCTTTGCTGTGCAGGCATGAGGACCAGTGTGTGGATTTTAACACCTATGTAACAAGGCAGGCATGCCCAGGCATGCCTCTATCCCCAGCGAAGAAGGGGCCAGGGTCAGAGGGTCTCTATGGTTTTCTGGTTCCCAGGTTCAGCAGAAACCCTTCCTCAAATGAATAAAGCAGAGTGTGATAGCAGGGGACACTTGACACCTTCCTCTGGCCTCTGAGAACAGGCACACACAGCCATGCACATTTGCATGCGTGTGTATGTGTGTATAACACACACACACACACACACACACACACACATTCAGCAACTACTGTCAACGTAACTTCAATTATTATACGCATCTCAAGTAATTGATTTTAACACTTTCCCCCTTTTGAGCTTCTGTTGTGAGACTCTCATACCTTAAAAAAAAAAAAAAAAAAAAATTCCACGAGAATTGGAATACAATCGGTTCAAGCTTTTCTTTCTTGCTCTTTTTCCCTCTAGGTTTTTAGTGATACAAACTCATCATTACTTTTATTATTCTTTTGTCTCTGAACTTCACCCAAGAACAACAATGATGGCAACAGCCCCACAGCAGTTGAACTTGCTGACTCAGCAGGCGGACTTCTCCCCCGGGGAAGGAGCTCAGCAGGGCCAGCAAGCTGGCTCGGCTGGTAATGTTCTTGCTGAGAAAGCCTGATTGCCATTGTTCGGTCCTCAGATCCAATGGCGGAAGGAGAGGATCAGCTCACCAAAGTCGTCCTCTGGCCTCTCTCTACTCGCACTGTGGCATGTGCTCTGTCCACACCCACTTACATACTTACTTTTTAATTTAAAAAAGCTCAGTGTTCTCTTCTTTCCTGTCATATTTACAAGATAAACAGCCCAGGGGAAAGAGATGTAATTTCTTTCACTTACATTATCAAGGCTGTTACATTTGATAAGCATGATTCTTTTTTTTTTCCTTGCCACTGAGCTACAGTTTCAGCCCTATAGAAGTCTAGTTCTTTATGAAAACATGTCTCCCTGACAGCTCTTTCCATAATGCCTTCAGTATGTCTTTGGTGACCCTTGCCCAAATCGGTTATTTCATTAGGCGTTATAGAATGATGGTTTCCCAGCTGGGCATGGTGGCACACAGGTGTAATCCCAGCCCTAGTAGAAAACTGCGCTATGGGCTCTCTATAGTTTGAAGCTAGGTTGGACTTGGCTATACAGCAAGATCTTTTTCTCACAGAACCCAGCAGAGCCAGTGTGAAGGCTCAGCAGGTTAGAAGCAGGTAACAGTCTGGCGACTTGACTGGCAGCACGTGAGAGACGGAGAGAAGTGATTCCTGCAAGCTGTCCTCTGATCGCCATATGTATACAGTGGCACATACTACCACCTCCCTCATAATAATGAATAAAATAATTAAAAATGATAAAATGATAACTTTTACATTCCTTCTACACTGTGAGCGCGAATGTTCTGTAGCGTTTTGCCCTCATCCACAGGGGCTTTGGGCTAGCTGTTTCAATTCCTACTCTTTGCAGTTATTATTTCTTCTTTTAATTCTGTGCCCTTGCTTCTTATGTGACTCTAATATTTTGAATTAAGGGTCTTTTCTCTTGAGGGTTCCTGTTATCACTGTATCCGTAGTTCCTAAGAAGGGACATAGGTATCTCCATATTAAGTTTCAAATGGAAAGCTTAAACCCTGTGTTGGTACATTTAGGACAATGGTGAAGCCTCCAACTTTGAAAGAGACAACATTGTTTACTCTGAAGGACCAATCGATGGACAAAACTTCGGGGATAAATGTCAACAAGATTTGATACACAAAGAAAAATTAACGTTTGAGTTGGACAGACCTCCACATTCCTGCCGCTGGGACACCACAGCTGAGCAGTCCCATCACCAGAATTTCCTTGCTCAGCTGGCTACTTTACTGAGTGACAGCATCGGCCCTATACTAGCCACGGAGGAATCAGTGAAGGAGAGGATCCAGGAAATGGGCATAAACGAGCAGCTGTGGAAATCTGTAAGTATACCGTCAGAAAAGCTATCCTTTCCAATTTAATTCTTTGTTTGTTTGGTCAGTGGGCTCTAGGGACCTGCCTGTCTCTAGCACTTTGGTACGCACTAAGCTTTTAATATGAGTGGTGCATGTCCAAGCTTGGATCCTCATGTTTGCACAGCAAACATTTTTACCGTCTGAGCCATCCCCCCCCCCCAGCTCCCCAATTTTAATAGTTTAATATGTAGAGTGTGATATTAGTCAATTGAAAGCTCTTTGGCTTCACTGTGATTTTTTTTTAAATTATTTGTTTCTATTTTATGTATGTCCATGTGTGCGTGTGTCTATGTGAATGTGGGTGCGCCTGTAGAGGCCAGAGGAGGCCAGAGCTAGAGTTCCAAGTAGCTGTGAGCTTCCGGACTACAGGGCTCCCTGCAACTACCTTGGAGTAAAGATGTAAAGCAGAGTAAAGATCCCGAGGGAGACAAGAAGCTGGCATTCAGTAGGACTCGGAAGCTGGTGTGGGTTCAAAACTCAAGAGTCTGACCCAGAGTAGTTTCTTTCAGGCATATTTAATCACAGCACAAGACAACCTCAAGACATAGCTACATCGAATCCCTTTGTAAAGCGCGTGTGACGTTTTCCTTTAAGATGGCTTCTGTAGATTGAGGGCAAGTGATGTCTTCCACAAAGACAGTTTTTATAGATTGACAAGTTCACAGCAAGGGCCCCGGGGGGAGGATCTGGTGTGGTTGTCTTGGCCGCACATGGAGTACAACACAGTGCAAAGGTCACCTGGCTCTTCATCCACTCCCAGCCTTCTCGGCGGAAAATAGATGGCACAGCCCTCTGTTTGAAGAGACAACCACGTGTGTTTAACATGTCTGCTTCCCCCACCCCACCCCGCCCCGGTGCTCGTGAGCCAAGAACTTCTGGGCCTACCACACCTGCCCTGGGTGTTGGGAACTGAGCCTGAATGGTAAGCACTTTACAGTTCTGAGCCATCCCTCCAGCTCTTCGAGGTCATTTTGACTGCATTTTTATTACTAAGAGGAAGAAGAGAACAGGCTGTCCTGAATTGTGCTGGAGACGTTGTGGCTTGATTGGAGCACGGAGGCCTGCCAGGAGCCCAGATTCCCTCAACTGCCAGCTGTGTGTCCTTGGGCACACATTATCTGCCCCGTGTTTTAGTTCCGTTTGTAAACTGGAGTGAAGAGGTGTCATTCCTACTTCTCAGCGTGGCTGCAAAGATTAAATGCGTTGATACATGTTAAGTGCCTAGTGTCGTTCAGTTAAATATTAACCTAATAGTACTATATTAGCCAGCACTATGAACGTATCTTATCCCTAAGGTTTTCTACTTTCCCCAAACAACAAATACATCCAGATGGATGATCCCCAGCTATAACACTAGTACTTGAGAAGCTGAGGCAGGACACATGCTGTGAGTTCAAGGTTGTCCTGGCTGACAGAACAAGATGCTGTCTCCAAAATCCAAACAAACAGTGCTATCGAGACAGGTCCGTGATTAAGAGCACTTCCTGCTCTTGTAGAGGACCCAGGTTCGATTCCCAGCACTCACATGATGGCTCCCAACCATCTGTAACTCCAGTTCCAAGAGATCTGATGTCTTTTCTGGTCTCCTTGGACACTGGGCATGTATGTGGTGGTGGGGCACAGACACACATGTAAGCAAAACCCCCATACACACCATAAAAAAGTACATGTCAAATCTACTCATCTGTCCAGTAACTCAGCCTCAAGGCAGTGTATACAGAAACAGAACTTGTCTATGGTTGGAAATGGTGTGGGACCCAGGAAGCATTAGGAAGTGCTTACTCAATGTCACGTCTTACAGAGATCTGAAGCCCTGCAGCAGGAAATTCAGAAGCTCACCAAGAGGCTTGAGCAGCTCTACTACCTCTATGAAGAGGCCGTGGAAGGGTTACCCCAGACCGAAGAAGATTACACAGAACAGAAAAGACCCTCTCGACGTCAGGAAGGAAAGGCTGCTGTCAGCCCCTCTCCGAGGAGCTTAGACGTGGGCAGGACAAAAGTAAGGGCTTCCTGAAGGTGACGAGTTTTTCTAAGAGTGATCCTGGTTTTGTTTATTTTCTCACTAGCTGTAACATTACTAAAGCTGCTTTGTACTCTTTATATCTTTCTATTTTTTTTGTGTGTGTGTGTTTGTGTGTTAACATCTTACTGAATACCTGGCTGTACTCAAACTCAGAGCATTCCATCTTCAGCCTCCCACAGGTGTGCACCTGAGATCTGGCTTCTATTTTTCTTGAGGACAGGAAAGGGGGAATTTGCTTCAAATCATTATTGCTTTTGATTTTCTTAAAAAAAAAAAAAAGAAAAAAGAAAAAGAAAAGAAAAGAAAAGAAAAGAAAGAAAGCCTTCTCTTAGGGCTAGGCAGAAGACTCAGGAGTCAAGAGCACTGTCTGCTCTTCCAGAGGTCCTGAGTTCAATTCCCATCAACCACAGGGCAACTCACAATCATCTATACTGGCACCTGATGCCCTCTTCTGGCAAGCAGGTGCACATGCAGATAGAGCACTCAAATAAATAAATCTTTAAAAAATTAAATTAAAAAATGTTTTAAATTTAAAAGCCGCTCTTCCTTTTTTTCTATCTTTTTCTCTATTTTGCATATATTTGATAAGTATTATGGTGCTCATTAGTATGAATCTTATTTTTAATAGTTTTTGGGGGGACAGGGTTTAGTTTAACAATATAATAGGGCCCAGGCTAGACTGAAACTCTGAGTGTAGCCAAGGCTGACCTTACATTTGCAGTCCCCTTCTCTCTGTCTCCATAATCTAGCTGTGACTAGAGACATGTGCCAATCCCCCCGGCTAAGCCATATCTTAACTCACCTTTAAATGAGGACGATTGAGAAATATACTCAAAGGGATGGCACCACCCTCTAGTGGTGGAGTTGAAGGAATTGTGATGGATAGACACAGTGGTACCCGTGAGGGGACACAGACAACATTCCTCATCGTTAGCTGCAGACCTTCTCTGCTTCCTGATTCCATGTATCTGTGGGGGAAGCGAGGGCAATGGCTGCAGTTTATTTCCAGAAGTTTCTTTTTCCATTTCTGCTCTTCTTCACTGAAGTATGTGCCGTGTGCCGACCTATGCCACACAATTCTAGAAGAACAACGGCTCAAAGTGCTATCTCGCTCGCTCACCATTGACTAAGTTAGTCTCTCGGCCTGGTCATCCATCGGTGTGTGCTTTTGTTGTTTCGGCTTGACACTCTGGGAATCACAATCTTATCATGTGGACTTGGCTGCTCTGATAGCTGCCACGAAGACCAGGTTGGCCTCAGACTCATAGAGATCCACCTACCTCTGCCTCCCCAGTGCTGGGGCCTTTCAGTATTTTTTAATAGCTTTTTAAAAACCTCCATCATTGGGGCTGGAGAGATGAATCAAGAGCAGTTGTTGCTCTTGGAGAAGCCCTGGGTTCGATTCCCAGAACCCACATCATGGGTCACAACCGTCTGGTTCTCTAGTTCTCAAGAATTCAGTGCCCTCTCCTAGTCTCCTCAGGTACCAGGAATGTGCATGGTACACATACATGCATGCAAACAAGGTGTAGAAGATACAAAACCAACTCCTTTATCATTATGAAATGACAGGGGTTTTTGGCTTTGAGGCAGGGTCTTACCATGTAGCCTTGTAACTTGATACAGAGACAAGGCCAGACTCTAACTCTGAAATCTGTAGCCATTAAATGCATGTGCCATTATGCCAAGCTTCGATCTAAAATGGTGTTTAAAAAAAAAATTGTGCCTTATAGTGTTCAAGCTTGATCATAACCTTCTGCATCTGCCCTTGGACAGTAGTGATTCCTGTCTGTGCAAAAAATTTAAACAATTTATCAAATTTTAAGAAAACATGAATAGCGTATCATTTCCTCTGCCTCTTTCTTTTTTTCTTTTTGTTTTTTTGAGACAGGGTTTCTCTGTATAGCCTTGGCTGTCCTGGACTCGCTTTGTAGACCAGGTTGGCCTCTAACTCACAGTGATCTACTTGCCTCTGTCACCATGCCTTGGCTTCTCTATCCCTTAAAAAGGTCTCAGGGAAACAGTAATAACTGTCTGATCCCTCTTTTTGCCTCTGTCATCCCAGGAACCAATGGTTTCGGCATGCATCTTTCAGAGACACTGCTGTGGTGCCTTACTGTTGCAATAAGTGAACATCACAGCCAGTTGAGTCTGGTGACATTTTTTTGTTTGTTTGTTTGCTGGTTTCCCTGTGCATATAAAAATTGTAATGACATTATATTGTAGTCTATTATGTTTTCATTATCTATAACATGTGTCAAAATAAACTAGTAAAATGTTATTTAGAAGGATAAAATAGACAGCCAGGGAAGCTGATTTAATGAAGGTGAAAATAGGCAGTTATTTGTGTGGTGGTTTGAATGAGAATGGCCCCCATGGGCGCCTATATTTGAACGCTTATTTCCTAGTTGGTGGAACTGTTTGGGGAAGGATTAGGAGGTCTGGTCTTGTTGGAGGAGGTGTATCACTGGGGCTGGGCCCAGGCTCTCTCTGCCTCCTTCCTGTGAATAGGATGTAAGTTGTTAGGTAGTGTTCTGGTGCCTGGCTGCCCGCTGCCGTGCTCCCCGTCGGGATGATCATAAATTCATCCCCTGACGCTGTAAGCAAGCCCCCAACTAAACGCTTCCCTTTATAAGTTGTCTTGATCATGATGTTTCTTCACAGCACTAGAAAAGTAGCTAAGACAATTTGTACAAATAGAGCAGGAAAATAGAAAAGAATGTTTTGTCATCTAGAGACAATAAATCAAAAATCTAGGGGGTCTTGGTGGACCGTGTGTGCTCAGCATATTTACAATGCTTGGTTTCGCTGGGTGGTGATGGTGCACGCCTTTAATCCCAGCCCTTGGGAGGCAGAGACAGGCGGGTCTCTGAGTTTGAGGTCAGCCTGTTGTAAATAGCTCCAGGACAGCCAAAATTACACAGAGAAAACCTGTCTCGCAAAACATAAATAAATAAATAAATAAATATCCTTGGTTTGATTTCTACCAAGGATGAGGAGAGGGGAGAAAAAAGAGGAGAAAGCAGAGGAGATCTAAAAGAAATTCATAATAGACAACATAACAAGACAAACTCAGAGCCAACATATCCAAGATACTCAGAAAACCAAGAAAAACAAACAAACAAACTACTGAGTTTAATGAGACACTCCAGTAAGTAGATAATTGGTAAAAATATAAACACTCGGTCTGAAGAAGTTCAGGTGGCAAGGCGCTTGCTTAGCATAAAGAAAATCCTGGTTTCTGAATGAAAAAAAAAAAAAAAAGAAATAAAAAGGAAAGGACATGACTGCTTCTAGGTATAGTGGAGAAAGTTTACTTCCGAGAAAAGGGAGAGTCCAGAGTGGTCATGACCCTGAACCAGGTTGAGGAGAATAGGGAGGAGGGAGAGGGGAAACCAGCTGCAGCAGCCTGGAAGCCAAAGGTACAAAAAAGGGCAGGTAACCGAAATGTCAGGATCTTATAGGGAAGAGCCTCTGGGGAGTTCAGGGTTGAGGGTGGGGTTATGCCAGCCATACCCTGTAACAGGTAGGGACTGAAGGATGCTGGGAGAACCTGAGGCTAAGTCCCTTTGATAGCTTAAATAGGCACCTCAGCTGTTTGTCCCAGGTTTGAAACGTAACAGGTTCCATGTTCAGTAACACATAAACCAGGCATGGAAGCACACGCCAGTAATTCCACCATTCTGGAGGCAGAGGCTAGAGGATCAAAAGGTCAAGGTCATCCTCAGTTACTTGGTGAGTTCCAGGCCAGTCAGGGATTCATGAGCCCCTTTGTCACAAACCCTCCTCCAAAACGTCAATCAACTGCAAGACTTTGAGGCAACCAGTGTTCTATGAGAATATTTTCTTTTGACTATCATATACCTGTGTGTGTGTTTGAGGCATGGTTTCTCTGTGTAGCCCTGGCTATCGTGAAACTTGCTCTGTATGTAGACCAGGTTGGTCTCAAACTCAGAGATCCCCCCTGACTCTGCCTGACTCTGCAGGGATTAAAGGTTTGTGCCACCACCGCCTGGCGTTCTATGACTATTTTAACATAACTGAAATAAGCATAGTTTCTTTAATACACTTTTTCATTTAGCTATATCACTATTTTTGTTTAATGTATATTTTAGAAATAATTTCTAGGAAATATATATCTTATACATAATTTAACTATTCTGATTTGACATTTGCATAGTTTTTATATTTTCCATCACAAATTATGTTGTATATCATGTTGCATGTGAATCTTTATCCAAGTTCTTAATACATTTTAATATGTTCCCAGAAAAGATGGATGAATCTATGCTAGCACATAGTAGTTATTATGAAAGTGACCGTTTAACTATACTTTCTCTAGCATTGCGTCATGATTTTCATTTGCATATTTTTATTATTTTATCAGTTGATATTTATGCTGATGGATATTTTACTTATACAGTTATCATTAAACTTCACCCAGAACAACATTCTTTTTTTAGTTATTTTTTAATTTTAATTTTAATTTTAATTTTATTAATATCAGTTTATTCACTTTGTATCCCAGCTGTAGCCCCCTCCCTCTCCCCTCCCAATCCCACCCTCTCTCCCCAGAACAACATTCTTAAAGTACAGTTCTCGATTTCAATCCTGTTGATCTCTACAAAGGAAAACTCCAGGACTGGGACTGCCCATACAGATAAACACAGCAAGTTCTCACACTTAGAGTTGTTATTGAATATTGAGCAGAACTCCAAGACGGCTGCAGCCCCAAGAATGGAGGAGAAAATTCAGAGACTTCAGAAGCAGCTTAGTGATTTGAAATTGTCAAACAAAAACATGAAAACTCAACTGACAAGGGTAAATGTCCTTAAGGTGAGTGAAGGGAAGCCGGGCTTTCAAACTTTCACCTTTGGCCCCTTCTATTTCAGTTGTGTGTTTCCCAGTGAACTCTGATCCTTTTCATTTGATGGGTCAGTGGGTAGAGGCACTTGCTGCCGAGCCTGAAGGTATGAGTCGAATTCTCCTGAAAGTTGTTTTCTTGGCTCCACATGGGAACTGACAGCAAGTCAGTTGGTCACGGCCTGTGCTCCCAGCCAGGTTCCACTGCTCTATGTCAATGGAAAGAGCCAAATTAGGGGCCTGGAGGGATGGCTCAGTGGTCAAGAGCACTGGTTTCTCATACAGATGACGCAGGATTGATTCCAAGCACCCACATGATGGCTAACAAACCGTAATTCCAGTTTCAGGGGGTCCAACTTGACCCTCTTCTGGCCTCCTAAGGCACTAGACATACATGATACACAAGCATTCCTGCAGGGAACACACCTACACGCATAAAATAACTAAAATATACATTTTTAAAAGGAGTCAGATTAATAGTGGGAAAAGAGGAGATTTATTCAGTTTGGCCACATTGTGAAGAAGGACAAAGAGATCCAGGGACACCTCCCACACAAGTCCATCTTTGTTGTCTTGAAGTGAAATCTCAGTTTAAATAGTTTAAATATGCACATTTAATGCACATATTCTGGGCCGAGGTGTGATTCTCCCAACCACTGACCCATCATTGTCCGGGTCTCAGTCTCACACGTCCATTGGTCTGACAAGTTGTTAGAATTGTGTAAAATTTCCTCCTAGGAGACAGGTTTCCCCTCCGGCTGTGACTGTTCCTTCTCCCAGGGTGAGATTTCTGTGGAAATTCCCGTTCCTTTGGGATCATCGAAGAGGCTGATAGTCAGATGGAGAGATACAGTCTCTCGCTAGGGCATACTCATTTCTGTCATGTTATTTACAGTGCTGTGGCAGGTGCACACACACACACACACACACACACACACACACACACACAGGCGAGACCCAGGCAAGCGTGCAACGCGCAAAAACCCACACCTCACCACACAAAAAGAAATGTCTAAAAACTTTAAATCTCAAAATGATTTTGGATGCATGCAAAATTATTACAACTTACAGGACAGTGTGACCTATATTCTAATTCTGTTTAGCACAGTTCCTCATGTTGGGGTGACCCCCCAACCATAAAATCATTTTCATTGCTATTTCACGACTGTAATTTTGTGGCTGTTACGCACTGTCATGTAAATCTCTGGGTTTTCCGATGATTTTAGGCAACCTCTATGAGAGTGTCATTTGAGCCCCAAAGGGGAACCATTGCTTATAGGATAATAAACTGGATGTCTGTGTAGCCACCAGATTGTTAGTACTCCTTTTGAAGCCAATGCACAGCTCACTGTTTCTCAAAAGTAACTAGGATTCCAGCTGTCAGAACTGGAAACCACTTGCTTTCTGTCTTAGGCTTTAAAGATTTATTTGTATGTATAAGCTCATTGTACCTACATGAGCTTATGTGTCCCACATGCACACGTATGCCCACAGAGGCCAGAAGAGGGTGTTTCAAGATCCCTTGGAGCTAAAGTCGGAGGACGTTGTGAACTGTCTGATGGGGTTTTAGGACCCAAACCCGGGCCCTCTGCATGAGCAGTGAGCACTCCTGGTGGCTGAGCCGTCTCTCCAGCCCTTCTTTTGGTTTTGCTGGAGTGTTTGTTAGAGAAATAATCTTACCCAGTGGCCCAGGCTGGTCAGGAACTTCTGACTTTCCTGCTTCTGCCTGGGAATTGCTGGGGTGTTTTACTATAGTGTTTTATCAGGTCAATAGGCTATCTTATTTTTAATAAAATATATTTCTTCTTACTCTTTTTGGGCCTTCTAACTTCTTGAGCTATACTATTTCAAGAGTTAGTTGCATCTAAATTTAAACATGCACTAAATAATCGGCCATCTGGTGGGTGCTTTATCGATATTTCTCTCCTGCAGAACCAGTTACTTTCTGAGATTTAGTTAATGTGCAGTGTAATGGCATTGCGGGCATTGAAAATGTTAAGCCTCTTTGAATTTCATGTGTCCAGAATGTAAAATTACTAGGGCAAGGTATGTTACTAGTGAATAGTATAGTGAAGAAAAATGTCCCCATGTTTTTTTCTTCCTTCCTTCCTTCTTTTCTTCCCTCCCTCCCTCCTTCCCTTTCTTTCTTTTCTTTCTTTCTCTCTCTTTCTCTTTCTTTCTTTCTTTCTTTCTTTCTCTTTTTCTCTTTCTTTCTTTCTTTCTTTCTTTCTTTCTTTCTTTCTTTCTTTCTTTCTTTCTTTCTTTCTTTCTTTCTTTTCTTCCTTCTTTCCTAACCCTAACCTAACCCTAACCTGAATCCTTTTTTTCCTTTCTTTCTTTCCTTTTTCTTTTCTTTCTTTCTCCCCTCCTTTCTTTTTCTCTTTCTTTTGTTATTATTAAAGGCATGTAATACAGGAGTAGTATCACATGCCTTTAATCCCAGCACTAGGGAGGTAGAGGCAGGAGGATCTCTGCAAATTCAAGGCCAGCCAGGTCTCTGTACCAAGTTTCAGACCAGCCAGGACTGCATAGTGAAAGCCTGCCTCAAGACAAACAATGAAACAAACAAAGAGGAATTGTCTGTTACTTCCAGGAAATCTAAACATATTTTTCTCCTTTTTTTATCCCCCTACCTTTCATCCTTACACAGGACAAGACAATCGAGAGGCTCAGGCAATCTGTAGCCAAAGCTGAAACATTGAAAGAGAAGACAGCTGCCAAAACAAATAACTTGAAAACCACAGCAGACACTGCTGAGGAGGTGGTGAAATCCGAGGAGAGGGCCCAGCCGAAGGCAGCCCGGGGCCCTCCTGAGCTTCCCACTGGCAGGAGCGCCCTGAAAGGGGTCTCAGGACGAGAGCAAGAGGTCTCTTTCTTATGACTGTATTAAAATCTGATTTCACTGAAGTGATCAACATTCATCTCAACTTAGACTTTACCCAGCTTTGATGAAAAGGGGTGTTTTGGTCACTGGCCTCAGAGACAGTTTGAACTACCGAGCCTCTCAGATGAGTCCCTGACTACCACAAGCACCACCTTACACCTTACAAGGCCTTTTTTCTTCTCTTCCTGGTGTCCATGTGACAGCTTGTGTGTTCCATTAGCAGCTGTTTTTTTGTTTGTTTGTTTTTTTCCCATATGGCAGGAAATATGGCCACTGAGAGAAGCATGTAGTTTCATATTTAGGTTCTGTGACAGGATCCACAACCCCAAGAGAAGTTCTTCCGGGTCGGGGTTGGTATTGGGTCAAGTGCATCTCCCTATGAACCCAACATGGCTAGGGCCGGGATATGTGCTTATTTTAGCTTCTGTTTGTGTACACAACCTCTGACAAACCAGGATGGTCGAACGCGTAAGACAGGGAAACGTGTTTTACGTTGCATCCCAGTCCTTGGGCTAGCACACCCAAACCTGCCTAGATTGTCACTTTTGACATAAAAGCCATGGCTGGCACAAAGGAGAGGAGACGTGGCATATTCTGAAGGCGAACACGAGTGACCATGGCTTAGACAGAAAGATTTAGGTTGCCCCAAATACCATGTTCCAATGTGCCAGCAATTTCATGAAGTTTTTGTAGTAACAACAAAGAAATTATACATTGAAGATAGATTTTGTTTTTATTTATTAAATTACTGTTTGCTTGGTTTTTTTGAGATGGTGTCTCACTACATAACCTTGGTTGGCCTCAGCTATCTATGTACACCAGGTTGGCCCTGAACTCACAGAGATCTTCCTGCCTCTGCTTCCCAAGGGCAGGGATTAAAGGTGTGCACCATGAGCCTGACAAGACATTAAAAATCATTTTCTATTTTATTTAGTTATAGTTTATATATAGGTGTTTCGCCTGCATGTATGTCTGTGCATCATGTGTGTGTCTGTGGCCTTCAGAGACCAGAATTGGGTGCTCTCTCCAGATCCAGAGAGACAGACAGTGGTGGGTGGTGGGAATTGAACCTGGGTCCTCTGGAAAAGCAAGCACAGTGCTCTTAGCCACTGATGCATCTCTCCATCCATCCATCCATCCATCCATCCATCCA